TTTTCCTGCTGAATAAAATCCCAGATAACGTGTCCTTCTGCTCTAAACACATGTGCTAGTATCCTTGACTCACGAGATTGTAATGACACGATTTGCAAACAAACTATACCACAGTGAGGTCTGAACCCGCGGTCAGAGTGTTTCAAAACTCCAGACCGCGGGTTCAAGCCCCACCCGTGGTATGGTTTCTTTACTAGCATCCTTATTGAGCAAAACTGGTCACATCTGCAGCGTTCTGTTACTTTGCTCTATATGGTAGTTACACAGAACTAAATCTACCTATGTTTCCACCTGTCGTATTCTATATCCCACCTGATGGATCTCTTATACCAGGTAATGTGTCAGGGTGAGGCTGGGACGACAATAACAACAACAACAACAATGGCAATAATAATAATAATAATAATAATAATAATAATAATAATAATAATAAAAATAATAATCTTTATTTCTACATGTACATAATTCAACTTATGCACACCTAGCTGACATCAAAGACTAATTTTGTCCCCAGGATGCGACCCACACCAGTCGGATAACATTCAGGTACCTATTTACTGCTAGGTGAACAGGGACAACAACTGTGAAGGGAAACAGGTTCAAACGTTTCCAGCGGTACCAGGGACCTCTGTGTCAGGTGAGTGCGCTATCATCCGAGTTACCAGATAACGTCAGGCATTCCACTGGATCCAGTAGGTACGCGAGTGTGGCTGTATGTAGCGGTGTGGTGTGTGTGTGTGTGTGTGTGTGTGTGTGTGTGTGTTTGATAATGTGTGTAGGTGTGTGTGACGAAGTGAGACACAAGTGGAAGTAGAGATGTGGCCTTGATGACGTGGTATATGCCACGTTGTATGAGAGAGAGAGAGAGAGAGAGAGAGAGAGAGAGAGAGAGAGAGAGAGAGGAGAGAGAGAGAGAGAGAGAGAGAGAGAGAGAGAGAGAGAGAGAGAGAGAGAGAGATGAGAGAGAAAGAGAGAGAGGAGAGAGAGAGAGAGACGAGAGAGATGAGAGAGAGAGAGAGAGAGAGAGAGAGAGGAATTCTCATTCTCATTCTTTACACACAAAGACATAACACATACGAGAGTACTATATAATGAGTGCTCTGAGAGCTATCAAAACTTTGGAGTCCAGTCCCTGGACCAATTATGTACCTCTGTAATCCTTTGACTACCGCCCACAGGATGGGTATGGGGTGCATAATAAACATATTAAACAACTCTGAGAGAGACATAACAGACAAGAACCGAGAGAACAGAGAAACACAGAGAACAGAACAAAGAAAAATTGAAAGTAATGAACGACCCAGAGTGACATAACTCATAGAGTGAGGAGTTCCCCACTGCTACTGTCATGATAACATGTAGGATAACATGCAGGATACGTGTAGGATAACATGCAGGATAACATTCAGGATAACATGTAGGATAACAGATCACAGCTGACCTTGCTACTGGCAAGACACAGTCGCTCTACACTCAAGAAGTCTCCCTTCGACCCCGCTGGTGGTGGGGAATTTATATTCTTCAATCGCCACCTCCTTTCTCACAATGCTGTCGCATCGTGTGAAAATCAAGCCTGTGAATGATGTAATCAATGATTCCTCGAAGCTAGCTTTGCTACCGCCGTTAGGACCTCCTGCAGGTCAAATTTACGGCAATCCACTCTCTGAAGGACTCCTTCATTGTCGTCTGCACAGACTACAATGAAGCATCAAAACTAATAGACGACTCTTCAATGAGATTAGATTTTAGATTTTGCCACCGAAGTGGCTAGTTTATTGTGCACCCCATATCCATCCTGTGGACGGTAGCGCAAGAGCATATGGATACATAAAAGGCCTAGGAACTAGGCCCCAAAAGGGTTAACAGGTGCACATATGGATTTATATCTACATATCTACAGTTCACTTATCTGTTACAAGCAAATTTAGGAAATTTTCTTAGTATATCTGGTACCTTATTTTCATTAACAAGATATCTCGACATGTCACATAGATTATTATACTGTCTATCTCTGTATTCCTCAATAAGTGGACAATTAAGCACATAGTGTTCAAGACAGTGACCATATGCCTGATCACATAATTTGCATTTAGTTTGATCATCATCTACGTGTCTCCCAAACTGCCAATGAAGACTCTACAAACACGGCAATTCACTATATCCCCGTCTACATCCTTGAGGGTGAAACGTTCGGTCTTTGTGAAAAGACTGGACGAGATCGTCACCTCTCTCTTTACTGAAGCACTGAAGACATCTATCGAGGAACAAAACACCTGGGCCTCGGTAGACAGCATCTTCAAGATCCCTAACGCCTCATTTATGCTAAAGATTACATTCTCAGACATCTCCATGGCTGCTCAAGGTCTCTCTGACGGTCTGGCCATCTCATGTTACCACATTTACCCAAGTCATATAGAACCAGAACGTTTCACACATATCTCCCACTGCTGGACCTGCTACTCCTATAATCACACCACCAAGGACTGCCCCATCAAAGATAAGAAGTTTTGTTCAAAATGTGAGAATGATGGACACGAATTCAGATCCTGCACCATCACTACGGGTCCAACATGTCTTAACTGCAAGGATAATCAACATACCCTTGCATCTAAGTACCCACTCAGGGAAAGAAATCATATTGAAGAAAACCAAAGAAGATCTGAAGAACACCTCCAACTTACCTACATACGTGCAATAACCAAACTACAAGCCGACACCACCAAGATTCTACACGCCACTCTACAGACACCTTCGCCCAGCAACTCCCTCTCTCCACTCCCCGACGGTGCTCCCTCCAAAGTGCTGTACTGCATGGTGTATGCACATCTTGCAAACGCAGCAAACCCCGGCACTTTCAACACCAAAATTAACGAACTATTCCGTCTGAACAATATGCCTTTCTTCAGTTTTCCGGACTCCACACCTTCAGCCGAACATCCTCAAGATCCTTCCCAACGTCGTGAACTTTACTGCACCTGCAGACCTGTCTCCTGCCCAAGCAACTGTTCCTGTAACTTCTATAACCACTTTCACCTCTGACAACGATGATCATGCTGACTCAACCACCGTATCCCACGCCTCCCAACCTGCTGTTACACCACCACTGCACCTCTCCATTGCTCCTGTCCACCTTCAGTCACCTGCTAGCACCATTGTAGATTCGCCCAATGAATCCACTCCAGAAGAAGAGGAAGATAGCGACGACTCCAACACACCCTCATGGAAAAACCTTACCTTCTACACTTCTTCAAATACTGACACCATGACCTGTACTGAGCTCTACAAAAGTCTCGGTGAAATTAAGACACATGTGCAACATCTGGGTATCTTTATTGTAGACGTTTCGCCATCCAGTGGCTTTATCAATACAAATTCTAGGACATAACTTGAAGACAGTAGGACTATATACAGAAGATGAGGTAATCAGTCCCTCAACCTAGGAGTAGGAGCTCTTCGCACCTACTCCTAGGTTGAGGGAATGATTACCTCATCTTATGTATATAGTCCTACTGTCTTCAAGTTGTCCTGGAATTTGTATTGATAAAGCCACTGGATGGCGAAACGTCTACAATAAAGATACCCAGATGTTGCACATGTGTCTTAATTTCATCTTGTCGGTATTATATAACATTCTTGCACAAAAGCCTCGGTGCTGGAACAGTTAAGTATGCATGTGAATCACCTCTTCACACTCACCCAAGTTTTTGAGTTCACCAAACCTCTACGTTTCACCTTCAATAACAAGACTAAACTATACCACCTCTCCAGGAGCAGCTTCAAAAAGTTTGAAAATGGCTCCACTGCCAACCTGTCCCCTCAATTACTCCTATAACTCCCACCTGTGTGCTGCCCTCTGATGCGACCTAGCCAGCTGCCAGGTACTCAAGATTCAAGGCTTCAGCAACCACAAGTTCGATGCAACAAACCCTGCTATTCCCGTTTCTCAAGTCTGTCCCACGATCGCCTTAGCTGGTGGGTTAAGCCCTGGCCTTATTTTTACTGTTAAGAACACTCCTCTCCAGCGCTGTGCTTCGTCTGTCCCGTCTTCCCCACTCATCCCATTGAGATCTTACCTGCATTTGTTCGTTCGTTCGTAGGATAACATGCAAGATAACATTCACGCTTAAAATTCAACATAACACCCGGAGAAGAATTAATGGATAATACTCTCAGGATAACCATTCCAAGATAACACTCAAGTTAACACCATAAAGATAACATTCTTCAGAACACTGACAGGATAGCATTCAGCACAACACCAGCAGTTATCACTGTTAAGGGACCATTACCATCACTGTCATAATGGGTGAGCATTAAACCCGTAGGGTCACACTGGGTGGGGAACTGATGATCGCTCAGATTTGATCCGAAAAGAGGATAATATCTCCAGTTCCTCTGATCAAAAACCCCCTCACCGGTATAAAGGCACACTAGCAACTACAAAGGTTATCTCTCTTGTATTATCAACCTTTAGCTACAACAGCTACATCCAAGTGTTATTAGTTCCGTAATTATTATTATTATAATCACAACTAAGCGTTAAACCCATAAGGGTCATACAGCTGCTAGTCAATTCCCTAAGAATACTCGCCCGCAGTAACACCCATGATAACTGTTATAATGTAAGCACAAAGATACTTGAAGGTACGTTAGTTTGCGTGTGGCCAGCAGTAACAGCCTGGTTGATCAGATTCTGATTCACCACGAGACCTGGTCTCAGACCGGGCCGTGGGGGCGTTGACCCCCGAAACCCTCTCCAGGAATACTCCAGGTATACTCCAGGTATACTCCAGGTATGATAACATTCTCATTGGATTACTGTGTGACTGGCAAGAACTGTTGCACATTTGAGGGGAAGTATTCCTTTGTACAAGTGTTTAACAGGTGTGGGGGAGGGGTGTGTGGGGGAGGGGTGTGTGGGGGGAAAAATGTGTGTGTGTGGGGGGGAGATGTTTTCCACATCAAGGGAGCAAAATCAACAGGTGTTAGTCATCGTTATTCAGTTTGTTTCTGTTTATTGTTGTGGGGTGAGCTGCTGCTACTGCTGGTAGTGCCGCTGCTGCTACTGGCCGGTAATGTTGCTGGTGTTAGTCTCCATATATCTGCTGCCCCTTATCACCTAGCGGTAAGTAGGTACCTGAGTGTTGGTTTCCTTACGTCAGCTGCCCCTGTTCATCTAGCAGTCAGTAGGTACCTGGTGTTAGACTACTGTTTTAAGGTTAGTTAGTTTAATATGTTTATTATGCACCCCATACCCATCCTGTGGGTGGTAGTCAAAAGATTACAGAGGTACATAATTGGTCCAGGGACTGGACTCCAAAGTTTTGATAGTTGAGCAAGTTACAAAGGTAATGAACTAGATCTGGTCACACTCGTGACCAAATATAAAGGTAATGAGCTCCAGGTAGACCATCAAGTGTTAGACACAATACATACAACCGAGGAGGAGGTGAAGAGGTTGCTAAGCGAGCTGGATACCTCAAAGGCAATAGAGCCGGACAACATCTCTCCGTGGATCCTAAGATCCACTTCTATTAGGGAGAGTGCAACGGACAAATGAAGCAGTAGCAACAGCAACACACACAGTAAGAGGCATTCTTGACCTTCCCCAGCGCTCGGGCCCCGGCCTAAAGCTGGGGTGTGACTCGAAAAGGATCCTGTAGTGCTTATCTTTGCACCTCTTGACATCGTCTGCTGCTATACAGTTGTCACACCCTTCGAGCCCAGTGTGGGCGGGGATTACGGCAGCCCAAGGTGCCTAGCTTCTCCCTCCGAGCCCCGTAGGGGCGGGGATTGGGGCTAGGCCTGGGGACAGCTGGTCCCAGAAGATGAGGAGGTACTTGTACCTCCTCATGGCAGACATTGGTCTGAGACACTCCCTCGACATGGCCGGGCCACCTCTTGGAAAAGGTCCGGGATGGGCGCGAATCTACAACAAAACAGAACTTATTGAAACAGGGCGAATATTCAGTATTTTATACACTTCAGTATTTTATATAATTTGTTTTGTGTCATTTTTATATAATTTCTTATCTACCACACTGAACTTTTATAACGTGATATTATCGATAAGGTAACAAAAGAACCCCAATGGAAATAAGTCACTCTGTCTGACTTTTTTGACTTATCCTATATTCTCTACACATATGCTGTTATGTATAATAATTTATGTAACTGTATTTGTGTATACCTGAATAAACTTACTAGCCTGAGGTATGGAAAACAGAAAATGAAGTCCCAATTTTTAAGGACTCAGACACGCAGCATTAAACTATGGACCAGTGTCACTGACATGTATAGTTCACAAAGTCATGGAAAAGATTATCAGGAGAAGAGTGGTGGAACACCTAGAAAGGAATGATGTTATTCATGACAAGCAGCACTGTTTCAGAGGCGGAAAATTGTGTGTTACAAACCTACTGGAGTTCTACGATAAGGTAACAGCAGTAAGACAAGAGAGAGAGGGGTGGGTAGATTGCATTTTCTTGGGCTCTAAAACGGCTTTTGACACAGTTCTAAACATGAGATTAGTGCAAAAACTGGAGGATCAGGCAGGTATAACAGGGAAGGCACTGCAATGGATCAGAGAATATCTGACAGGTAGGCAACAACGAGTCATGGTACGTGACAAGGTGTCAGAGTTGGCGCCTGTGACGAGCGGGGTTTCACAGGGATCAGTCCTAGGATCGGTGCTGTTTCTGGTATACGTCAATGACGTGACGGAAGGGATAGACTCAGAAGTGTCCGTATTTGCAGATGGTGTAGAGCTAATGAGGAGAATTCAATCGGATGAGGATCAGGCATGACTACAAAGGGATCTGGACAGGCTGAAAGCCTGGTCCAGCAACTGGCTACTGGCGTTTAACCCCATCAAGTGCAAAATCATGAAGATTGGGGAAAAGCAAAGAAGACCGGAGCCAGAGTACAGTCTAGGGGGGCCAAAGACTGCAAACCTCACCCAAGGAAAAGGGTCTCGGGGTGAGTATAATATCAAACACATCTCCTGAGGCGCAGATCAACCAAATAACTGCTGCACCATATGGGCGCCTGGCAAACCTAGAACTAGCATTCCGACCCCTTAATAAGGAATCGTTTAAGACTGAACACCGTGTACGTCAGACCTATATAGGAGTATGCAACACCAGTCTAGAACCCACACCTGGTCAAACACGTCAATAAATTAGATAAAGTGCTAAGGTTTGCAACAAGACTAGTCTCGGAGCTAAGGGGCATGTCCTACGAGGAGGAGTTAACTGAAATCGACCTGATGACACTAGAGGACCGAAGGGATAGGGGGATATGATAACGATATATAAAATACTGAGAGCAGTTGACAAACTGGACAGAGACAGGATGTTCCAGAGATGGGACACAGCAACAAGGGGTCACATTTGGAAGTTGAAAACTCAGATGAGTCAAAAGGGATGTTAGGAAGTATTTCTTCAGTTATAGAAGAGTTGTCAGGAAGTGGAATAATCTAGAGAGTGATGTAGTGGAGGCAGGTACCATACATAACTTTAAGAAGAGGTATGATAAGGCTCATGGAACAGAGAGAGAGAGTGGACCTTGTAGTGATCAGTGAAGAGACGGGGCCAGGAGCTATAAATTGACCCCTGCAACCACAATTAGATGATTACACACTCTGGACAGTGAAGTAAGGCAGGATTCATATACACCCGTAAGATGAGGTACAATAATATTATCTTTATTTACTACAAGTACATGTACAAGGTATACAGTCCTAGATGACATCAGTGACATACTACTATATAGAAAGCCGCTTGTTATGCTGAGCATTTCGGGCAAATTAGGTCAGTTTTGTTCCAGGATGCGACCCACACCATTTTACTGATGGGTGAACAGGGACAGCAGGTGCCTTATGGAGACACATCTTAATGTTTTCCAGTCGTACCGGGGGATCGATCCTTGGACCTCAGTGTGCGAAATGAGTGAGCTAGCGATCGTGGCTCTTGGAACAGGGAGAGAGTAGACCTTGTAGCGACTAGCAAAGAGGTGAGGCCAGGGGCTATGAATCCATTTCTGCAACTGTAAATAGGTGAGCACAAATAGGTGATTACACACACACACACACACACACACACACACACACACACACACACACACACACACACACACACACACACACACACACACACACACACACACAAACACACACACACAAAATTGTTCTCAAAGATTTGTTAAGTTACACCATGAGTTAAGGAAAGATCCTGGACTTAACCTTACAAAACAGACAAAGCAAAGCGATAGTAATTATGGACAAGGCAGATTATAAAGGAAAAATTAACATGTTATTAGAAGACAGGGGTAGTTAGGTGCTAAGCTTCATTAGTCTCACAGCAGCTCCACCCCTGCACACAGTCTATCCCTCCAGGAGAGAAAAAACTGGAGGATATATCAGAGGTGTACCCAGAAGCGAGGGAACGAGGGGGGAAGGTGATGGGTGACATGACTTATATATAAGAGCAAAGACGAAGAGCAAATTGAAGGAGCAGTGGGAAAGAAACTTCATTATCCTTAAAGGGAAAACTGAGGAAATGTGAAATAATCTGTAGCAATGTTGAAGAGCATGTTATGAGGGATAAGGTGAGTGAAGAATTTTAAGGTGGGACGAGACAGTGGACGAGCTGAAGGAAATCCTTGAGGAAATGAGAGAAGACTAGAAGGAGCAGCAGCAACGAACGAAACGAAGAAGCAGCAGCAATAACGAAGGAAGAAGCAGCAGCAGCAGCAATAACGAAGGAAGAAGCAGCAGCAGCAGTAATAACGAAGGAAGAAGCAGCAGCAGCAGCAATAACGAAGGAAGAAGAAACAACAACAACGAAGGAAGAGTGTGGTCCAGTGGACAGACAGTACACCGGCCATCGGGAGATCAGGATGCAAAGGAAGCGATGAAAGAGGCAAGAAGGGAATTGGTAAAAATAAACAAGGCAATCTGGAGGGAAAGGTAATGGAAGAGAGAGATTGAGAGAGGTCGCTGATAACGCAAATTTATTTCATAATTTTTTTTTCACTCTACTTATTAGTGCCAGGTGGACTCTAGGGAGCTTCTCAAGACTCTCCTTTGACTACTTACTTCTCGAGGCTATGGTACCAATATATATATATATATATATATATATATATTATAATATATATATTATATATATATATATATATATATATATATATATTATATATATATATATATATATATATATATATATATATATATATATATATATATATATATATTATATATATATATATATATATTATATATATATATATATATATATATATATATATATATATATATATATATATATATATATATATATTATATATATATATATATATATATATATATAATATATATATATATATATTATATATATATATATTATATATATATATATATATATATATATATATATATATATATATATATATATATATATATATATATATATATATATATATATATATATATATATATAATATATATATTATATATATATATATATATATATATATATATATATATATATATATATATATATATATATAGGGAAGTACCACCACCTCTATAGCTGGAATGGGGACCCTCATCCTCAGAGAAGACAATAAACGTACCTCAGAGAAAACTCAAGGTTTGTAGACAGCAACCACCCAAGGAGGTACTACCGTCCTGCCAAGAGAGTATAAAACGGAAACCTGTAATTGTTTTACATGATGGTAGGATTGCTGGTGTCTTTTTTCTGTCTCACAAACCCGCAAGGTTTCAGGTACGTCTTGCTACTTCTGCTTACACTTAGGTCACACTACACATACATGTACAAGCATATATATACACACCCCTCTGGGTTTTCTTCTATTTTCTTACTAGTTCTTGTTCTTGTTTATTTCCTCTTATCTCCATGGGGAAGTGGAACAGAATTCTTCCTCCGTAAGCCATGTGTGTTGTAAGAGGCGACTAAAATGCCGGGAGCAAGGTGCTAGTAACCCCTTCTCCTGTATGCATTACTAAAGTTAAAAAAAGAAACTTTCATTTTCTTTTTAGGTCATCCTGCCTCTGCTGGATACAGCCGGATTGTTGAAAATTATTATTATTATTATTATTATTATTATTATTATTATTATTATTATTATTATTATTATTATTATTATTATTAGTATTAGTATTATTATTATTTTATTAACACATCGGCCGTCTCCCACCAAGGCAGGGTGGCCCGAAAAAGAAAAACTTTCATCATCATTCACTCCATCACTGTCTTGCCAGAAGGGTGCTTTACACTACAGTTTTTAAACTGCAACATTAACACCCCTCCTTCAGAGTGCAGGCACTGTACTTCCCATCTCCAGGACTCAAGTCCGGCCTGCCGGTTTCCCTGAACCCCTTCATAAATGTTACTTTGCTCACACTCCAACAGGACATCAAGTATTAAAAACCATTTGTTTCCATTCACTCCTATCTAAAACACTCACGCATGCTTGCTGGAAGTCCAAGCTCCTCACACACAAAACCTCCTTTACCCCTTATCCACCAACCTTTCCTAAGCCGACCCCTACACCGCCTTCCCTCCACTACAGATTTATACACTCTCGAAGTCATTCTATTTTGTTCCATTCTCTCTACATGTCCGAACCACCTCAATAACCCCTCGTCAGCCCTCTGGATAATAGTTTTAGTAATCCCACACCTTCTCCTAATTTCCAAACTACGAATTCTCTGCATTATATTCACACCACACATTACCCTCAGACATGACATCTCCACTGCCTCCAGCCTTCTCCTTGTTACAACATTTATCACCTATGATTCACACCCATATAAGAGCGTTGGTATAGTTATAATATTATTATATCATTAATAACGTTTGTATTATTTTTCTGAGAATTGCATATACGCCTAAAATATATAGCAATTAATATATGCTTTTTTTGTTCCGTCTTGCAGGCGATTTGAAGATCCAAGTTAGTGTATGTCAGCCAGGCACTGGAAACCATCGTCGAAAATGCGTGTGAGGACAGACGTTTCCCGTCCGTAGCTTCCACCGTCCGTGGCGTTCGTCGACATGACTTGGAAATCGTCATTACTCATGCTTGTGTTCATTTTCCTCCCACTGATATCAACGAGTGCTGTGGGAGCCATTGAAGAAGTGGGCAACAACGAGGTCGAAATATTAGATGGTGAGGTAGATAAAGACGGAAATACGATTGGTGAAGAAGACCTTCCGAGCACGTACGGTCCGTGGGAGGACGCTGATGTGACGGCAACGGCTGCAGCTGAGGTCACCACTGAGAGACAGTTCGAAACGTTGGGCTTAAAGAATCATTATGAAACATGGATGAGGATGATAATGCAGAGTGATTATGTGAAGAATAATGGTAGTGTGAACTACAATGATACCGATGATGATGTAAATGAAACAGATAAAGAAGCAAATAACGTAAGAAACGAGACAAAAGGAGTAGATAAAGAAGCAAAAGGCGAAGATAATGACGCAAACACTTTAAATGAAGAGGCAAATGTTATAGCAGACGAAGTTAGCGAAGCTCCAGGTGGAGTGGAAGTTGCAGAAGCTGCAACAAGTGCCAACAATCGTCTCAGAATCTTGCAAAAGCTTGTCTATCCTGATCACAGAATTATTGATCCGGTGCCAGCCAGGGTCAGCACTAAATGCGGTGAGTTTCAACATTATTCTCTAACCTTATTTCTTTGTCTTCCTCTCTTGGTCCCGTCCCTGTCTCCCCTCGCCTATGTATACTGGCTCACTCATTCTTTTATCTTATTGGGATTTGTAATGGTTCAAATCGGACCGAAACGTCGTCGTAAGCTCCTCTCTCCTATGTGAGGGTTACTTGTGTATTGTTCCAGTCTCGGCATCGTTCCTTTTTGTTGTTTATTATTCACTCCTTCGTTGCAACACATTCTGTAAAATTTGCATTTCCCTTCCTCCAGTAGTTAGTTATTTTAACAAGCACTATACCTCTTTTTTTTTTTTTTTTTTCAACAAGTCGGCCGTCTCCCACCGAGGCAGGGTGACCCAAAAAAGAAAGAAAATCCCCAAAAAGAAAATACTTTCATCATCATTCAACACTTTCACCACACTCACACATTATCACTGTTTTTGCAGAGGTGCTCAGAATACAACAGTTTAGAAGCATATACGTATAAAGATACACAACATATCCCTCCAAACTGCCAATATCCCAAACCCCTCCTTTAAAGTGCAGGCATTGTACTTCCCATTTCCAGGACTCAAGTCCGACTATATGAAAATAACCGGTTTCCCTGAATCCCTTCACTAAATATTACCCTGCTCACACTCCAACAGATCGTCATGTCCCAAGTATCATTCGTCTCCATTCACTCCTATCTAACACGCTCATGCACGCTTGCTGGAAGTCCAAGCCCCTCGCCCACAAAACCTCCTTTACCCCCTCTTTCCAATCCTTTCGAGGACGACCCCTACCCCTCCTTCCTTCCCCTATAGATTTATATGCTTTCCATGTCATTCTACTTTGATCCATTCTCTCTAAATGACCAAACCACGTCAACAACCCCTCTTCTGCCCTCTGACTAATACTTTTATTAACTCCACACCTTCTCCTAATTTCCACACTCTGAATTTTCTGCATAATATTTACACCACACATTGCCCTTAGACAGGACATCTCCACTGCCTCCAACCGTCTCCTCGCTGCTGCATTTACCACCCAAGCTTCACACCATATAAGAGTGTTGGTACTACTATACTTTCATACATTCCCTTCTTTGCCTCCATAGATAACGTTTTTTGACTCCACATATACTTCAACGCACCACTCACCTTCTTTCCCTCATCAATTCTATGATTAACCTCATCCTTCATAAATCCATCCGCCGACACGTCAACTCCCAAGTATCTGAAAACATTCACGTCTTCCATACTCCTCCTCCCCAATTTGATATCCAATTTTTCTTTATCTAAATCATTTGATACCCTCATCACCTTACTCTTTTCTATGTTCACTTTCAACTTTCTACCTTTACACACATTCTCAAACTCATCCACTAACTTTTGCAATTTTTCTTTAGAATCTCCCATAAGCACAGTATCATCAGCAAAAAGTAACTGTGTCAATTCCCATTTTGAATTTGATTCCCCATAATTTAACCCCACCCCTCTCCCAGGGAGGTACTACCGTCCTGCCAAGTGAGTGTAAAACGAAAGCCTGTAATTGTTTTACATGATGGTAGGATTGCTGGTGTCTTTTGTCTGTCTAATAAATATGCAAGATTACAGGCATGTCTTGCTACTTCTACTTACACTTGGTCACACTACACATACATGTACACGTTTATTTATACACACTCATCTGAGTTTTCTTTGATTTTATCTTAATAGTTCTTGGTCTTATTACTTTTCCTTTTATATCCATGGGGAAGTGGAATAAGAATCTTTCCTCCGTAAGCCATGCGTGTTGTAAAAGTCAACTAAAATGCCGGGAACAATGGGCTAGTAACCCCTTTTCCTGTAAAGATTACTAAAAAGAATAATAAGAAGAAAAAACTATACCTCTTGCTGGAAGGAAATTTGAACTCTTAAGAATTCCTGATGTTATGGGTCCCTATTATGATAATTCAACCCCTTCGATAATATTCTAGCTAGGCTGAAAAGGAGGTCAATTGTGGTCTGTACCACATAAAACAGTTCAGTAATTCAGATAAATGAAATATATTTTTAGAGACTGTCGAGCCTGTAGGCTCATGTTCAGCTCTGCTTTAGGCCTATATGCTAGGTTGATAACGCCGTCACAATTGTTATTGTTATATTTTCAATGAAGAATAAAAGTCACATTATCTTCGGTGAGACAAGTCACAATTTTCAGCAACTGGGTTTAATATTTTGTTGGGGTTAAAGTACCCCAACATAGGTCAGTATTTGTGTGATGTCTAATTCATTATCTGTCTTCGTTTCATCCTGACTTCCTGGCTCTTCACGGCGCACACAACCTCAAATCCAACACTCCTCAACCTGCCATGGCACCACCACCACCACCGATCACACCTGGCACTATCAACTGCCCCGATATTGGGCACTGCCCACCCACAGAATGTGGGCTCTTCAACAGTCCTCGCCAGAAGATCGTGGGAGGAACTGAAACATACGAGCATCACTACCCCTGGATGGTAAGCACAACTCTGTGTGATGGGGTCTGATTCCCAGCCACCAACATCGACTTTCTTATGTCTTACAGTTTTGTTTTGTTTACATTCCTTCTCCTACTTCCCTGTTATCCTGTGTTAGCTTGTCTCTGTCTTTCTTGAAGTATTGTAACAATGCTACCTTATAAATCTCCTCTATATAGTGCGATTTTTTTTTTTGTAAATGCAAATGAAAAAGTTCATCCGAAATTTAAGAGGATGTGAAAAGGCTTTCATAGTTCGTGTTGTTCACTATTGGATGAACTTTTGACAGCGGAAACTGAGAATCTTATTATATAGAAAAGTTTCGTCCCAAAAATCATTCTGAACCTAACGAAAAAAATATAATATTTCATTGTTTGTTCGGACATGTGGAGAGAATGGAGCGAAACAGAATAACTTCAAGAGTGTATCAGTCTGTAGTGGAAGGAAGGCGGGGTAGGGGTCGGCCTAGGAAAGGTTGGAGGGAGGGGGTAAAGGAGGTTATGTGTGCGAGGGGCTTGGACTTCCAGCAGGCATGCGTGAGCGTGTTTGATAGGAGTGAATGGAGACAAATGGTTTTTAATACTTGACGTGCTGTTGGAGTGTGAGCAAAGTAACATTTATGAAGGGGTTCAGGTAAACCGGAAAGGCCGGACTTGAGTCCTGGAGATGGGAAGTACAGTGCCTGCACTCTGAAGGAGGGGTGTTAATGTTGCAGTTTAAAAACTGTAGTGTAAAGCACCCTTCTGGCAAGACAGTGATGGAGTGAATGATGGTGAAAGCTTTTCTTTTTCGGGCCACCCTGCCTTGGTGGGAATCGGCCAGTGTGATAATAAAAAAAAAAAATTATTGTAAACTTGTCTAAAATATATTTAGTTGGATTAGGCTAAATTAAATTGCTCTTGTTACAATAAGGTTAGGTAAGTTTTCTAAGGTTCGTATGGTACAAAATTATTAATTTTTAAACTAAAATAAATGAAAAAAATATATCTTTAAACGTACAACAGGAAATTTTAGAAAGGACTTAATTTTAAATGAGTTCTTGCTAACTGACTAGTTTTTACCTATTCGGCACGAGATATACATATTGATGCTGTGTCGCTATTTAACTAACATTATTTCCTTTCTTAGCATAGTACAGTAATTCCTGTTTGTTCTGCAATGTTCCCGGTTTTCTCTCCATCCCTTTTTTACTATAGACTTTCTACGCTACTTTTTCCTTAGGCTTTCCATCAGTGTAATTATGTGCACACTGTGGTCTCTCCCATTATGTGCACACTGTGGTCTCTCCCATTATGTGCCCACTGTGGTCTCTCCCATTATGTGCACACTGTGGTCTCTCCAATTATGTTCACACTGTGGTCTCTCCCATTATGTGCACACTGTGGTCTCTTCCATTATGTGCACACTCTGGTCTCTCCCATTATGTGCACACTGTGGTCTCTCCCATTATGTGCACACTGTGGTCTCTCCATTATGTGCACACTGTGGTCTCTTCCATTATGTGCACACTCTGGTCTCTCCCATTATGTGCACACTGTGGTCTCTTCCATTATGTGCACACTCTGGTCTCTCCCATTATGTGCACACTGTGGTCTCTCCCATTATGTGCACACTGTGGTCTCTTCCATTATGTGCCCACTGTGGTCTCTCCCATTATGTGCACACTGTGGTCTCTCCAATTATGTGCACACTGTGGTCTCTCCCATTATGTGCACACTGTGGTCTCTCCCATTATGTGCCCACTGTGGTCTCTCCCATTATGTGCACACTGTGGTCTCTCCAATTATGTTCACACTGTGGTCTCTCCCATTATGTGCACACTGTGGTCTCTTCCATTATGTGCACACTCTGGTCTCTCCCATTATGTGCACACTGTGGTCTCTCCCATTATGTGCACACTGTGGTCTCTCCCATTATGTGCACATTGTGGTCTCTCCCATTATGTGCACACTGTAGTCTCTCCCATTATGTGCACACTGTGGTCTCTCCCATTATGTGCCCACTGTGGTCTCTCCCACTATATGCACACTGTGGTCTCTCCAATTATGCGCACACTGTGGTCTCTCCCACTATGTGCACACTGTGGTCTCTCCAATTATGCGCACTCTGTGGTCTCTCCCATTATGTGCACACTGTGGTCTCTCCCATTATGTGCCCACTGTGGTCTCTCCCATTATGTGCACACTGTGGTCTCTCCCATTATGTGCTCACTGTGGTCTCTCCCATTATGTGCACACTGTGGTCTCTCCCATTATGTGCTCACTGTGGTCTCTCCCATTATGTGCGCACTGTGGTCTTCATTTTGTCACACATTGTCTCTCCCATTATGTGCACACTGTGTCTCTCCAATGTATGTGCACACTGAAATGGTCTCTCCACATTATGTGCACACTATTGTTCTCCCATTATGTGACACTATGGTCTCTCCCATTTGTGCACACTAGTGTCTCACCCATTATGTGCATACAGTGTTCTTTCCATTATGTGCCACTGTGGCTCCTTGTACATACTGGTTCTCCCATTATGTGCACACTGTGTTCTCCATTAAGTGTCACATATTGTCTCTCCCATTATGTGCACACTATGGGTCCTCTACCCATTATATGCACACTGTGGTCTCACCATTAGTGCACACTGTGGTCTCTTCCATTATGTGCGCACTGTGGTCTCTCCCATTATGTGCACACTATGTGTCTCTCCCATTTGTGCACACTGTGTCTCCCATTATGTGCACACTATGTACTCTCCCATTATGTGCACACTATGGTCTCTCCCATTATGTGCACACTGTGGTCTCTCCCATTATGTGCACACTATGGTCTCTCCCATTATGTGCACACTATGTCTCTCTATTATGTGGCACTGTGGTCTCTCCCATTATGTGCACACTATGGTCTCTCTCATTATGTGCACACTATGGTCATCTCTCCATTATGTGCACACTGTGTCTCTCCATTATGTGCACACTATGGTCCTCTCATATGTGCACACTGTGGTCTCTCCCATTATGTGCACACTATGGTCTCTCCCATTATGTGCACACTATGGTCTCTCCCATTATGTGCACACTATGGTCTCTCCCATTATGTGCACACTATGGTCTCTCCCATAATGTGCACACTGTGGTCCCTCCCATTATGTGCACACTATGGTCTCTCCCATTATGTGCACACTGTGGTCTCTCCCATTATGTGCACCACTATGGTCTCTCCCATTATGTGCACACTATGGTCTCTCCCATTATGTGCACACTATGGTCTCTCCCATTATGTGCACACTGTGGTCTCTCCCATTATGTGCACACTATGGTCTCTCCCATTATGTGCACACTATTGTCTCTCCCATTATGTGCACACTATGGTCTCTCCCATTATGTGCACACTGTGGTCTCTCCCATTATGTGCACACTATTGTCTCTCCCATTATGTGCACACTATGGTCTCTCCCATTATATGCACACTGTGGTCTCACCCATTATGTGCACACTGTGGTCTCTCCCATTATGTGCGCACTGTGGTCTCTCCCATTATGAGCACACTATGGTCTCTCCCATTATGTGCACACTGTGGTCTCCCATTATGTGCACACTATTGTCTCTCCCATTATGTGCACACTATGGTCTCTCCCATTATGTGCACACTGTGGTCTCTTCCATTATGTGCACACTATGGTCTCTCCCATTATGTGCACACTATGGTCTCTTCTATTATGTGCGCACTGTGGTCTCTCCCATTATGTGCACACTATGGTCTCTCCTATTATGTGCACACTATGGTCTCTCCCATTATGTGCACACTGTGGTCTCTCTTCCATTATGTGCACACTATGGTCTCTCTCATTATGTGCACACTGTGGTCTCTCCCATTATGTGCACACTATGGTCTCTCCCATTATGTGCACACTATGGTCTCTCCCATTATGTGCACACTATGGTCTCTCCCATTATGTGCACACTATGGTCTCTCCATAATGTGCACACTTGGTCCTCTCCCATTATGTGCACACTATGGTGTCTCCCATTATGTGCACACTATGGTCTCTCCCATTATGTGCACACTGTGGGTTCTGTTTCGTGTGTGTGTGTTCACTATACACTCTTGAGTGTGTACATACTGAGTGTTCACGTGTGTACATACTGATTGTTCACGTGTGTACATACTGAGTGTTCACGTGTGTACATACTGAGTGTTCACGTGTGTACATACTGAGTGTTCACGTGTGTGCATACTGAGTGTTCACGTGTGTGCATACCGAGTGTTCACGTGTGTACATACTGAGTGTTCACGTGTGTACATACTGAGTGTTCACGTGTGTACATACTGAGTGTTGACGTGTGTACATACAGAGTGTTCACGTGTGTACATTCTGAGTGTTCACGTGTGTACATACTGAGTGTTCACGTGTGTACATGCTGAGTGTTCACGTGTGTACATGCTGAGTGTTCACGTGTGTACATACTGAGTGTTTACGTGTGTACATACTGAGTGTTCACGTGTGTACATACTGAGTGTTCACGTGTGTACATACTGAGTGTTCACGTGTGTACATACTGAGTGTTTACGTGTGTACATACTGAGTGTTCACGTGTGTACATACTGAGTGTTCACGTGTGTACATACTGAGTGTTCACGTGTGTACATAATGAGTGTTCACGTGTGTACATGCTGAGTGTTCACGTGTGTACATACCGAGTGTTCACGTGTGTACATAATGAGTGTTCACGTGTGTACATACTGAGTGTTCACGTGTGCACATACTGACTGTTCACGTGTGTACATACTGACTGTTCATGTGTGTACATACTGACTGTTCACGTGTGTACATACTGAATGTTCACGTGTGTACATACTAAATGTTCACGTGTGTACATACTGAGTGTTTACGTGTGTACATACTGAGTGTTTACGTGTGTACATACTGAGTGTTCACGTGTGTACATACTGTGTGTGTACATTTTCATATTCATGTACATGCTGTCGTGTGTGTATGTACTATAGTCTGCTCCTGCTATCGTGGGTATACATGATATGTGTTCAAGTTATAGCATGTATAAGCGATTGTGAGCACCCACTATCGTGTGAGCACCCACTATCGTGTGAGCACCCACTATCGTGTGAGCACCCACTATCGTGTGAGCACCCACTATCGTGTGAGCACCCACTATCGTGTGAGCACCCACTATCGTGTGAGCACCCACTATCGTGTGAGCACCCGCTATCGTGTGAGCACCCACTATCGTGTGAGCACCCACTATCGTGTGAGCACCCGCTATCGTGTGAGCACCCACTATCGTGTGAGCACCCACTATCGTGTGAGCACCCGCTATCGTGTGAGCACCCACTATCGTGTGAGCACCCACTATCGTGTGAGCACCCGCTATCGTGTGAGCACCCGCTATCGTGTGAGCACCCGCTATCGTGTGAGCACCCACTATCGTATGAGCACCCACTATCGTGTGAGCACCCGATATCGTGTGAGCACCCACTATCGTGTGAGCACCCACTATCGTATGAGCACCCACTATCGTATGAGCACCCACTATCGTGTGAGCACCCACTATCGTGTGAGCACCCACTATCGTGTGAGCACCCACCATCGTGTGAGCACCCACCATCGTGTGAGCACCCACTATCGTGTGAGCACCCACTATCGTGTGAGCACCCACTATCGTGTGAGCACCAACTATCGTGTGAGCACCCACTATCGTGTGAGCACCCACTATCGTGTGAGCACCCACTATCGTGTGAGCACCCGCTATCGTGTGAGCACCCGCTATCGTGTGAGCACCCGCTATCGTGTACTCGCCTCCATCTTCCAGTATCGCTTCACAAGCAATAAAGTCTACAACTTCAAATATACTTTCATCTCGATTTCTCGGTTCCCGGGAATCCAAAAATATTGGATTTTCCTGGAAATATGACTCCCAGTACGCCACTCACCCAATATTTTCCAATCAACACCATAAAATGTGCTTCCGTCTGTTTGTAATTGATCTCTTGGAGGGAATGGAAGAGAAAATTGAAGGTCACTTCTGCTTGCGACAACACTAGTGATGCTGGCGACAGCACCAGTGATGCTGGCGACAGCACCAGTGATGCTGGCGACAGCACCAGTGATGCTGGCGACAGCACCAGTGATGCTGGCGACAGCACCAGTGATGCTGGCGACAGCACCAGTGATGCTGGCGACAGCACCAGTGATGCTGGCGACAGCACCAGTGATGCTGGCGACAGCACCAGTGATGCTGGCGACAGCACCAGTGATGCTGGCGACAGCACCAGTGATGCTGGCGACAGCACCAGTGATGCTGGCGACAGCACCAGTGATGCTGGCGACAGCACCAGTGATGCTGGCGACAGCACCAGTGATGCTGGCGACAGCACCAGTGATGCTGGCGACAGCACCAGTGATGCTGGCGACAGCACCAGTGATGCTGGCGACAGCACCAGTGATGCTGGCGACAGCACCAGTGATGCTGGCGACAGCACCAGTGATGCTGGCGACAGCACCAGTGATGCTGGCGACAGCACCAGTGATGCTGGCGACAGCACCAGTGTTGCTGGCGACAGCACCAGTGATGCTGGCGACAGCACCAGTGATGCTGGCGACAGCACCAGTGATGCTGGCGACAACACCAGTGATGCTGGCGACAGCACCAGTGATGCTGGCGACAGCACCAGTGATGCTGGCGACAGCACCAGTGATGCTGGCGACAGCACCAGTGATGCTGGCGACAGCACCAGTGATGCTGGCGACAGCACCAGTGATGCTGGCGACAACCCCCAGTGATGCTGGCGACAGCCCAGTGATGCTGGCGACAGCACCAGTGATGCTGGCGACAGCACCAGTGATGCTGGCGACAGCACCAGTGATGCTGGCGACAGCACCAGTGATGCTGGCGACAGCACCAGTGATGCTGGCGACAGCACCAGTGATGCTGGCGACAGCACCAGTGATGCTGGCGACAGCATCAGTGATGCTGGCGACAGCACCAGTGATGCTTGCGACAACACCAGTGATGCTGGCGACAGCACCAGTGATGCTTGCGACAACACCAGTGATGCTGGCGACAGCACCAGTGATGCTGGCGACAGCATCAGTGATGCTGGCGACAGCACCAGTGATGCTGGCGACAGCATCAGTGATGCTGGCGACAGCACCAGTGATGCTTGCGACAACACCAGTGATGCTGGCGACAGCACCAGTGATGCTGGCGACAGCATCAGTGATGCTGGCGACAGCACCAGTGATGCTGGCGACAGCACCAGTGATGCTGGCGACAGCACCAGTGATGCTGGCGACAGCACCAGTGATGCTGGCGACAGCCCCAGTGATGCTGGCGACAGCACCAGTGATGCTGGCGACAGCACCAGTGATGCTGGCGACAGCACCAGTGATGCTGGCGACAGCACCAGTGATGCTGGCGACAGCACCAGTGATGCTGGCGACAGCACCAGTGATGCTGGCGACAGCACCAGTGATGCTGGCGACAGCACCAGTGATGCTGGCGACAGCACAGTGATGCTGGCGACAGCACCAGTGATGCTGGCGACAGCACCAGTGATGCTGGCGACAGCATCAGTGATGCTGGCGACAGCACCAGTGATGCTGGTGACAGCACCAGTGATGCTGGCGACAGCATCAGTGATGCTGGCGACAACACCAGTGATGCTGGCGACAGCACCAGTGATGCTGGCGACAGCACCAGTGATGCTGGCGACAGCACCAGTGATGCTGGCGACAGCACCAGTGTGATGCTGGCGACAGCACCAGTGATGCTGGCGACAGCACCAGTGATGCTGGCGACAGCACCAGTGATGCTGGCGACAGCACCAGTGATGCTAGCGACAGCACCAGTGATGCTGGCGACAGCACCAGTGATGCTGGCGACAACCCAGTGATGCTGGCGACAGCACCAGTGATGCTGGCGACAGCCCCAGTGATGCTGGCGACAGCACCAGTGATGCTGGCGACAACACCAGTGATGCTGGCGACAGCACCAGTGATGCTGGCGACAGCCCAGTGATGCTGGCGACAGCACCAGTGATGCTGGCAACAGCACCAGTGATGCTGGCGACAGCACCAGTGATGCTGGCGACAGCACCAGTGATGCTGGCGACAGCCCCAGTGATGCTGGCGACAGCACCAGTGATGCTGGCGACAGCACCAGTGATGCTGGCGACAGCACCAGTGATGCTGGCGACAGCACCAGTTGATGCTGGCGACAGCACCAGTGATGCTGGCGCCCAGCACCAGTGATGCTGGCGACAGCACCAGTGATGCTGGCGACAGCACCAGTGATGCTGGCGACAGCCCCAGTGATGCTGGCGACAGCACCAGTGATGCTGGCGACAGCATCAGTGATGCTGGCGACAGCACAGTGATGCTGGTGACAGCACCAGTGATGCTGGCGACAGCATCAGTGATGCTGGCGACAACACCAGTGATGCTGGCGACAGCACCAGTGATGCTGGCGACAGCACCAGTGATGCTGGCGACAGCACCAGTGATGCTGGCGACAGCACCAGTGATGCTGGCGACAGCACCAGTGATGCTGGCGACAGCACCAGTGATGCTGGCGACAGCACCAGTGATGCTGGCGACAGCACCCAGTGATGCTGGCGACAGCACCAGTGATGCTGGCGACAGCACCAGTGATGCTGGCGACAACACCAGTGATGCTGGCGACAGCACCAGTGATGCTGGCGACAGCCCCAGTGATGCTGGCGACAGCACCAGTGATGCTGGCGACAACACCAGTGATGCTGGCGACAGCACCAGTGATGCTAGCGACAGCACCAGTGATGCTGGCGACAGCACCAGTGATGCTGGCGACAGCACCAGTGACATTTACACCGATTTTGTTCGGTTTCTTAACCCGGGGATGTTTGTGTCTCTCGGTGTATATACACAAGGAGGTATATATCTCGCCGAAAGGTGTATGAGTATATACAAATGTATATACACCAAGATATCCATATCTTTCACCTTATACACAGATGAATTTGTTCTCCGGTTCCCTAAATTAAGCCTGAGTGCCTTCCATTCTATCTCCCCCTCCCCCGACAGGCGCTGGATAATCCCTACAGGTTTAGCGCTCCCACTCATAATAATTATAATTTATACACACAGAAAGAATATTTTAAGCCTGATTTTCAGGTTTAAAATTATTCTTGACTGGTTGTGATGGGATGACTGAGATCATTGAATATAATCCTAAGAAGTCTTAATTATCAGAAATAATAATAATAATAATAACAATAATAATAAGGATAAAATTATTAAAATTATAATGTTGATAAATACAAAATACATTAGTCTACTGTTTTCGATGTATGTGTTAAAAGCAATATCAGCTTAATGTGATCCGTAGGTTATAAGTACTCTGAGTTGAGTACAGTGACTCAGGTGTCGAGTACAGTGCAGGTGTTTACAGTGTTGTACGTGTTGCAGGTATCACTGCAACTAGCGAGGAACAAGAAGCATTTCTGTGGCGCTAGTATCATCAGTGATTCTTACATCCTCACAGCTGCCCACTGTACTGACGGGTAAGTGCTGTACTCACCTAATTGTACTCACGTAATTGTGGTTGCAGGGGTCGAGACTCAGCTCCTGGCCCCGCCTCTTCACTGATCGCTACTGGATCCTCTCTCTCTCTGCTTCCTGAGCTTTGTCATACCTCTTCTTAAAAGTATGTATGGTTCCTGCCTCCACTACTTCACTTGCTAGGCTATTCCACTTGCTGACAACTCTATGACTGAAGAAATACTTCCTAACGTCCCTGTGACTCGTCTGAGTCTTCAGCTTCCAGTTGTGACCTCTTGTCCCTGTGTCCCCTCTCTGGAACATCCTATCTCTGTCGACCTTGTCTATTCCCCGCAGTATCTTGTATGTCGTTATCATGTCTCCCCTGGCCCTTCTGTCCTCCAGTGTCGTCAGTCCGATTTCCCTCAACCTTTCCTCGTACGACATTCCCCTGAGATCTATGACTAGCCTTGTTGCAAACCTTTGTACTTTCTCTAACTTCTTGACGTGCTTGACCAGGTGTGGGTTCCAGACTGGTGCTGCATACTCCAGTATGGGCCTAACATACACAGTGTACAGTGTCTTGAACGATTCCTTATTAAGGTATAGGAACGCTATTCTCAGGTTTGCCAGGCGCCCGTATGCTACCGCAGTTATTTGGTTGATGTGTGCCTCCGGTGATGTGCTCGGTGTTATGGTCCCCCCAAGGTCTTTCTCCCTGAGTGAGGTCTGTAGTCTTTGTCCACCTAGCCTATACTCTGTCTGCGGTCTTCTTTGCCCCTCCCCAATCTTCATGACTTTGCATTTGGCTGGATTGAATTGGAGAAGCCAGTTACTGGACCACATGTCCAGCCTGTCCAGGTCTCTTTGCAGTCCTGCCTCCTCCTCATCCGATTTAATTCTTCTCATCAACTTCACATCATCTGCGAACAGGGACACTTCAGAGTCTATTCCTTCCATCATGTCGTTCATATATATCAAAAATAGCACTGGTCCTAGAACTGACCCCTGTGGGACCCCGCTCGTAACAGGCGCCCACTGTGATACCTCTTCACGTACCATGACTCGTTGCTGCCTCCCTGTCAGGTATTCTCTTATCCATTGCAGTGCCCTCCCTGTTACATGCGCCTGATCCTCCAGCTTCTGCACTAATCTCTTGTGGGGAACTGTGTCAAAGGCCTTCCTGCAGTCTAGGAAAACGCAATCTACCCACCCCTCTCTCTCGTGTCTTACTTCTGTTACCTTGTCATGAAACTCCAGGAGGTTTGTGATACAGGATTTGCCTTCCATGAACCCATGCTGGTTTTCATTTATAATCTTGTTCCTTTCCAGGTGTTCGACCACTCTCCTCCTGATAATCTTCTCCATGACTTTGCACACAATACATGTCAGAGACACAGGTCTGTAGTTTAGTGCCTCGTTTCTGTTTCCTTTCTTAAATATGGGGACTACATTAGCTGTCTTCCATTTCTCAGGTAGTTGCCCAGTTTCAAGGGATGTGTTGAAGATTGTGGTTAGAGGCACGCACAGCATCTCTGCTCCTTCTCTAAGGA